AAAAGTTTAATCTACAGTAGGTCAACCTCATCATCAGTGAGCCGTGGGCGACCCTGTCGTCAGTTCACCATTTGTCCTTCCTTAGAAACTGTTGGTAGGTACTAACCACTACAGACCAGGAACACCTACCAAGACCTGCAGTGTTGGAGATGCTCTGACCCAGTCATCTCACCATCACAGTTTGGCTCTTGTCAAAGTCACTCAGATCCTTACACTTGCCTGTTTTTCCTGCTTCCAACACATCAACTGTGAGGACTGAATGTTCACTTGCTGCCTAATATACCCCGCACACTGACAGGTGCCACTGTAACAGATAGTCAGTGTTATTCACTTCACCTGCCAGTGGTCATAATGTTATGGCTGATAAGTGTATAACCAGAAAAAACGTTAATGAAGAGATGTTTCCATTAAATAGGTTCTCTTCTATCACTGTGCGTATTTACCATGATCAGCACTACTCACATAATAATCCTAGGGTGGTACTCCATAATGGAGTTGTTCAGGTAGAATCTTCTGAAGAACATGATGGCTGTACTCTGCACAGATGAGACACACATTTTTCACATGCCTACACATAATGAAGTCATGTTTTACTAACGACTATAGAAAGAAAGCACATGTTGTACATACCACAACAGACTTTGGCATCACTGGCTTAAAAGCGTTGCAGAAGTCGAGCAGCCTTCTCTCATAGTGTCTAAATAAAACGTCTTCCTCATGGCGCTCCAAGAATATGGACTCACTCAACCCAGGCTGCGTAACACAGAGAGACAAGGCGAGGTGAAGTCTCTATCACACAGAGACCTTGTTTAGTAATATTTATTTATGTGCTATTTACCTTCCCACTTCCAAATATCTTGTGACGGAATGTCTGATTAGCCTTGAATCTCATTTGCTCAACTTCGTCTTCACTTTTAAAAATCCAGTATTTTCTCTGTGAGCTGTTGTGGAACATGGCTGTTTCTGCACAAAATGCCTGCAAAACGGCCTAAAACAGGACGAAATAAACAGAACAAGGATACAAGATAACTTTAGCCTTCTGCTCACTGAGACATGTTTGCGGTAGCATCAGTTAACTTACTCTTTGTCCAAATATAAGTTAGTCCATCCACTACACAGATGGTATTAGGCAGCAGGTAGCAAAGTACAAAAGCGCTTTGTTAATTTATCATGAAACGGCAAAGTAAGTCTCTAAAAACAAAAAATAATGGAAATAATAAAACTGAGAACTGTCGCCACTCCTAACGTCAGAGACGTCGCCCTATGATGACGTATGTTCTACCGTAGTTTAGACCACGCTGCGCAAAAAAATGTGTACTGTCTGCAGGTCTCTTTCGCTCTCTCTCTCTCTCTCTCACACACACACACACAAACATACAATAAAAATATGAAACTATATATTAATTTGTTTTTGAGATAGGTAACCGCATGGTTTCATTTACATAATCACAGCAATTTAAATCTGATAATAGGTTACAGAAAAAAATGCAATCTGCGTGGCTTCAACACAGCCTATATAAAAAATAAATTTCATACATGGCCTAAGTGTGCATTTAATATGTTGAGAA